AGATAACACAAAGTGCATAAAAAAACCCCTGTTAACATGCAGGAAGGTGGATGGAGAAAAGGAGATTTTAAAAAACCTGTTTAGAGAAATAATAGCATAAAACTTTCCAAATATTGGGAAAGAATAAAACATATAGATGAGTGAGGTGTGTAGCACCCCAGATAGCCATTGTTGGTGGGGAATGTAAACTAGTACAACCATTATAAAAATCAGTATGGAGATTCCTCAAAATAAACTATAAGAAATTCCACTCAGTCCAGTAGTCCCCTCCTAGGGATCTTCCTAAAAGAGTTAAAGACATCATATTACAGTGATATATGCTTACCTGTGTTTATAGCAGCACAATTCACAATAGCTAAGTCTTGGAAATGGCCTATATGTCCATCAACAGATGAATAAATAAAGCAAATGTGGTATTTATATGCATTGGAGTACAAATCTACCATAAAGAATGATGAATTTGAGTCATTTGTAGGAAAATAGATGCACCTTAAGACTATAATGTCAAATGAAATAAATCAGTCACATAAGCAAAAATATCTCATGGTTTCTCTTATATGAGAAATCCACATTATAAAGAAAAAGCAAAAAAGTGATAGATAATAGAAAAAAGAAACAAATTACTCATAACCTTTGGCTTAGTAAATTCACCAGAAATTTTTGCAAGAGATGAAAATTAGGAAGAATGCAATGGAGATGATGAACTATTATGATCTGGAACTGTGATGACCTTCCTCATGTTTATATATTCAAGAAAACATCTAGAGCTCTGCATATAAATGGTGGTTCTACTGAGAAAATGACAGGGATCGAAAAGAGTTGTTTTTAAAATTATAAACATGCATTACTTTAGTTATTTATTAAAAGTAAGTTATTATTCTCAACTTTTTATTGTGAAATGATTGCATCTCTGTAGGAAATTACAAAATCCTATCCAAGAAGCCCATGATACCCTGCATTCAAATTCCCTGAAGAGTAGCAGTTTTGCATAACCATAGTAGAATATGGAAACATGATGTTAGTACAGGGCACAGAGCTCACTCAAGTATCACTAGCTACACACGCCCTCAACTCCATACAGTTTTAGCTCTACTTTGTATATACTCATGCAATCACCACCACAACCCAATACAAGAGTAATCCACCACAAGTATCCCTGAAGCTACTCCTTACCGCTCTACCACCCCTCTCCCCTATCCGTAATATGTATTTTTTCCATGAAATAAAACAGGATGTTGTGATGTATTGTTGAGTGAGACATTAAGTTGTAGAACAATATTTTTGGAGATGGAAAAACTGGATGTGAATCTTTCAGTTCAATTTCTCAGGCTCTAGTTCAAATGACCAAACTGCAAGTCTAGTTCTCTAATCCAAACTTTGATAGATATTCACAGAAGGGAGGTGTAGGTTTGTCATCCACAGATCACACACTCCAAGTTCAACAGCCCGAGTCAGTCCAAATCCCTCACTGGAATGACATCTCTCCTCATTTAGAATTAAAAGATTTACAAGACAAATGGGATTGATTAGGAATCCCATCCTGCCAACACCTACTTTTTTCTAGGTGATCATTCCATTCAAGCTGTGCCTTGTAGCGAGTTTTCCATTCACCACCTTCATTGTCAGTGTTGAGTTTGGTTTCCAGTGTTGCTATCTTGTGTTTTATTTCAACCGCTGAGAGCTGCACTGCATCGCTTCAATGAAAGTACACTTTCACTGTCAGTTCTGCGTGTTGTCCAGTTCTTTGGGACACCAAGAAACTGGACAGATTCTCACAGGACATTCCATCCTTTAACAATGGGGCCTGGAGCCCGGGAAGAACAAAGTGCTGTCACAGGCCGCTGCCATCAATATCTTTCAATTTAATTAGGTTAAATTTTCAAAATTTTCAGTGTAAATGTCTTACCTGTTAGACTAAATTTCTTAAATAAGGAATACATGACTTTCAAAGCTATTAAAGTTATGCATTTTTATTTCATTCTCCATTACTAGTTAGTATATTGAAATACAATTATATTTTATATCTGGCTTGTATCTAGCAAATGCCAATTTTTTTGTTAATTCCAACAATTTACCTATAGATTTGTTTGGGTTTTCTGTGTATTAAGGCATATCAGTTGCCTTTAATGACAGGTTTATTTTTAAATTCTTATACTATTTGTTTCCTAGACCTGCTGTGCTAGCTTGGATCTCCAGCAAGCGCTGTGTTGAATATGTGTGACAGAAAGAATCCTCACATTGTCCCTAATTTCAAAGGAAACGTGTTTAGAAGAGGTACTGGGTTGAGCAGTGGCCCACAAAAGATATCCTAACCTGGATACCTGTGAAACATGAACTTATTTGGGAAGAATCTTTCTTTGCAAATATAATTAAAATTCTAGAGATTGTCCCCAATTTAGAATAGGCTCTAAATCCAATGACAAGCGTCTTTCCAAGAGGAACACAGAGAGCCAGAGCATGTGCTGACTGAGGCAGGGACTGGAGGGATGAGTCCCCAAAGCAAGGAATTCCAAGAACTTCCAGCAGCCACCAATAGCTGGAAAGAAGTTACTGGGAGGGATTCTCCCTTAGAGCTTCCAGAAGGAATCAACACTGCCGATACCTCAATTTCAGACTTCGGGCTCCAGAACTGTGAGAATAAAATTCTGCTGGCTTAAGTTACCAAGTGTGGTCACTTGTTGAGGCAGCTCTGAGAAACTCATATAGGAGATACAAAGGACATTGGCTTAGTGACCTTGAGTTAAAGAAGGATTTCTTTTTCTTAATGTATTTTTAAATTAATAATTTAATTTTGAAATTGTAGACCCACAAGCAATTGTAAGATTGTATTATTTACAGACAGTTGTGCACCTCCAACTCAAGTTTTTCTCAATAGGAACTGCTTACAGAACTATACTGCTGCATTACACTCAGGATATGGAATCCCTAGACTTCCTTTTTCAGCTACATCAGCTCCCCTCCTCCCCAATCCTTAACCCCTCACAACCACTCATTTACTCCCCATTTCTATAATTTTTCATTTCAAGAATATCCTATAAATGGAATCATACATTGTGTAGCCTTTGGCCTTTTTTTCTCAGTGTTAGTTCTCTGGAGATTCACCCACAGGCGATGTATCGATCAGTGCGTACTAGTCCATGGTGTGGATGTACCACTGCCTGTCCAATCTTTCACCCAGTGAAGAACATCTGGCCAATTCCAGTTAGGAGTCGTATGGGTAAACCTGCTATAAATATTTGTGTACAGCTTTTTATATGAATGTAGGTCGTCATTTCTCTGGGACAAATGCCAAGTGCAACTGCTGAGTTGTAGAAATTTCTAAACACTTCCCAGAGGTGCTGTGCCATTTTAAATTCTCTTTAGTAATAAATGAGGAGTCCAAACTCTTTTCATCCTCACTAGCCTTTGGAGTTGTGTTTTTTATTTAACAATTCTGATATGTGTTTTATAATATCTCATCATGTCTTTAATTTTCACTTCCCTAACAGCTAGTATTATTAAATATTGTACCTTTGTGCATATTCAACATCTACCTGTGCTTTTTTGGTGAAAATGTATGCTCATGAAGGCTAGGGATTTCGTAAAGCAGACTTAAGAAGTGTTAGCTATAAAAGAAAAGATTGATATGTCCTCTACATTCAACTCATGATATTTTGAGCCTTAAAAGGCATTGCAATAAACATGTCATAAAATAAGAGGTATGTAACATACACAACCAACAAAGGACAGGTTCCAAAATATACTTCTAGAATCCACAGGAAGTCAGTGTAGTATGAACATGGGCAAAGAAATAAAACACAAAAATTTACAGAAAAGCAACACAAATGGCACAGATGGCTCCCAAGCATATGAAAAGATGACCAGCCTCACTAGTAATTAGAGAATGAAGAGTAGTGAGTTATCACTTTGTACCAAAGAGATTGGGAAAAAATTAAAAGCCTGATCATATAAAATATTAGCAAGGAAGTAAAGCAATTGGAAAATCTACACACCCCCAGAAACAGCAAAATTGGGACAATCCATTTGAATAAGACTGGAGATGTATAAGCTGTATAACCCAGTAATTTGATTTGTAAGCAAATATAGCCAAGAAACATGAATAAGAATGTTCACAGAATCACTGATTGAAATTGTCAAAGATGGGAACAACCCAAGTTTCTATTAACAATGAAATAGTAAAATAAAGTGATTTTATTTATATGGTGAAATATTGTCAATCTACAAAAATGAATGACTTAGCTGGGCATGGTGTGCATGCCTGTGATCTGAGCACTCAGGATCACCTTGAATTTGAGGCTTGCCTGGGCTACATAGTGAGTTCAGGGCCAGCCTGAACAGCAAAGGGAGACCCTGCCTCAAAAAACCAAAAGAAAAAAAAAAAAAAAGTAAACCAATTTTCATTCATTCATTCACCCACTTAACATGTGTTAGCCTTTTAGCTGCAGGCACACTATTAGGCCCTAGAAATACATAGAAGAAGAGCATGATAGGCAAGTTGCTTAAAATATGGTGAGGAAGAGAGACAACCTATAGACAGTGACCATATGGAACAGAATGGTGAACACAAAGTTATAGGAATGCAGAGGGATTTGGAGGATGTGATGAAGTGAGCATTGAAAGATGCATCTAAACTGGATGAAGAGCGAGTCATGGCAGCCCAGACCAAGGGAAAAGGAAATCAAGGATGGTAAGGAGACAGGCATCGATGGAACTGTGACAGGTTTGGTTTTGCCAGACCTCCAGGTTCACATTAGGAGGTGGTGAGACATTTTATTCCAGACAAGGGTAGAGGCCTCTGTAGGATGTATTAGTTAGAATTACGTAGGTTTGGCTATGACTTAGTAAATATCCGAAATACCAGTGGCTTAAAGGAGACTGGGGTTTGTTGCTCAGTATTGCAAATGAAGAAACTGCGGGTTGTGGGCGGGCTGAGTCAAGGAATCAGAGTCCTTCTCATTTTCTGCTCCATGGTCCATATACAGCTAATAATCAGCACAACATGGCTTTTAAAATAAATGTGACTTTATTATAAAATTCTAAAAATGTGTTTTCAAGGACAGTCATGGGAATACTGTAAAGCAGAAACATCTTCATAATGCAAACAGTCTCACAGATTTTATATCATCTATGCAATTAATACTTGAAAAATATTCTTCCTTTCAGCTAAGAAGAGTCTTCAGAGCACCATGATTTGAACGGGAAGGTATTTTACATGTCAGAGTTCATCTTTGGTCTGCAATTAAGAAGCAAAATATTTAGAGCCATCAGGAAGTCTTACATGAGTCCAGAAAACTTCTATTAGTCAATTATTTCTGACTGAAGATGAGAGGAGGACAAAAAGCCAAATTGTTGCTAAATACTTTTAGGGCTCAAAACTATTTCTGGAGGCTCATGAAGACCCACCGTAAAATCGCACTGTGTTTCACAGGCCTACCAATGGGAAGGCCAAACAGCCACCTGTCCATGTTACCATACAGCTCCTGTGTGACAAACATTATCAGCTGAGAGCTGCAGTGCACAAAGAGCAAGAAATGAACAAAGCTTCCATTCTGTCCCTAACTTCCACTACTCAGGGGGAGACACTGACTTGGTAACTCCTCTGAATCACTTAGATAACAAGTAAAAAAATAAATAGGAGTGCAGAAAGAAAGTTGCATAGATTCTTTTACCGCCAAAGTAAAAAATACTGTGATACCAAATCAGGAACTCGGTGAATGGTACCTTTTGATTTGCAATTCCTTTTTCATCACTGGCTTTAAGTGATTTTATGTTATTGGGGCACAACAGGAGTTAGGACTGATGATGTACTGTTCAGAGGCCAGTTAGTGGTAAATTAGTTGCCCAAAAAAGACAAAGACACTCAAAACAACCAAAATTCTGATCTTCAGTGTGTGCTGCCTGTCAGTCATGGTGTAAACATTCTCACTAAGCTGCTTCCAAGCTACCTAAACCTTAGTTAATGTACACAATTCCTGAATATTTAACAACCGGTAAGCTCATGGAAGCTGGTTCTGTTACATTAGGGGGGCCCGTGGTCATCTCCCTCCTTTTAAATACTCTTGAGAAGTAAATCTGCTTGTCATCTTTGGTTATAATACCCCATTCAGAGTTTATTCATCCAGAAACACGATGATGTTGCTTAAAATAATGTCAAGCCAGCATATTTACACACACACACACACACACACACACACACACACACACACACCCCTCAGTTTATGAATCTATATTCCGTCAAACAAACTACAGTTAAAACATTATTCTGCCACACCGCGTCTCCATACGCAAATATACACACGCTGATCAGGAGAGACTGGTTTTCACTTTGCCAGATGATTTTGAGCTGAATTCTTCTTTGGTCTCAGTTTTGTAAACCATAAAATAAAGAAATGACTGCATAGCATCTAAGGTCCTTTTTAGCTTTACAAATACGGATGTGAATCTGGCTGTTACAAATGAAGATATTGTGTAGTGAGAGCAACAGAGGTTGTCATGAAATCAACAATTTGATGACATGGATGTCCGTAGTTGTATACTTTTTCATATGTGTATTAGCATGATGAACTTGGCCCAAACTATTTCATGGGGAGCTGATCTATGCGAAAACACTTCTCAACTACAAACATCTATTTGAAGGCCACACATATTAAAAAAGGCTCCCTTCATCTCTGCCTGAGAGTTACTCTGTCTTCTCACCAAACCTCATTTTAGTACCGTTTCTTGGGCACTGTTATTTTTTGCAACATCCATCTCCCTGGTAGGCTGAGTTGCTCCGAGGCCTCAGCAGGAGCTCAAACCCATTGCCTGACTGAATGACCAGAAGAACAGATGCAAACTTGGGCCAGCATCGGCACTCCCTCTGGTGAGGTCAGTTCTGTTACCTTTCTCCTATGGCACGAGCAAGGGAAGAGGTCATCCTCAGTCTGTGGCTCTACCCTCTGCATGCCCTCGCGGATCTGGGGCTCGCTCACTTGCAAGTTGCCATATTCCTATAAAGCAACCATAGAGAAGCATTCCTTCTGCAAGACCCTAAGTACATTTGGCAATGAGACGCACTGGAATTTATAGACCAAGAGTCACTTGACTCACTTGTGTGAAATTATTAGGTGCGAAGTCCTCTATAAGCACCCCCATAAACACCTAGCAACAGAGTTTGAGTCCTGCTGCTGACTGTTTCTCCCTAACAGACCTCTGATGACTGTATTTCAGTTATGTGGCGACTTTTATTTATTCATTTAACCACCTTCTGCTTTATATTGAAAATAATTTTGCACACAACTTTCCCCACAATGAGAATTTGAGGACAGAGACTATTTCTGCCTTCCCCGCCATGGCTCATAGAAGCCTCAGTCACCACCTTCATTTATTATGTTCTTGGTCTGGGACAGACACTAAGTACTGATGTTAAAAATTAGCTAAATAAATGAACACTAACCAGTGGATCTTTAGGAATTTGTGTAATAAATCTCCCCGTTCATTCACTGACAGTTAACTCAGTCTACCTCTTCATCGTCTCCTGGGGAAGGTTACAAAGCTGGAGGGGCCAGGACAGACCGGAAGTAGATCAACTCCGCTCTGCAGCAGAGCCCAACACATGGAGTTCAGTACCTAATTCTGAGACAAACATCTTAATCTAGCTCTACTATTAGTATTAGCAAATAACTCATTTTCTGTTGTGCTTTTTAAACAAAACCTTTAAAATGTTAGGTGTACTTTAATTACAATTACTAAATGCTGGGTTCTTGAAAAATAATTTTCAAGAAAAATTTGGGGTCAGGAAAAGAGACCCAAACATACAAAGTATTGTTTTCACAAATAAAAACAAAAGCAAAACCCAGAAACAAAACAAAACAAAAGGTAAGGCAGCAGCAGTATAATAGGAAAATATAAATCCTGTAACTTTGTAGGATTGGAGGCCAATTTTCTAATCAGATACCACGTCATTCTAATTCAAATACTTTTCACCTGATATTGTAACATTATCCATCAGCTAATCTTTGGTTTTCAAAGATATTATTACTTAATATCTGTCCATGATTTTCACCCAATGAGGTACAAGTATCTCCTTATATTACCAGAGTTTTAGAAATTGTTAAGTGAAATATTGCCGGTAACACAGTTATATGACTGTTTCATTGGAAAATACTGACCTGGAAAAGTTTGAAATAATAACAGAATATGTCATCACCCATGAGATTATTTCTTGCATATTCCTGTCCTGCTTTTGCAATCTTCTTTGCCTAGGGGAATTTTTAAAAGTCCTTTAAATGAACATATTTTTTTCCCATACAGCCATATGCAAAAAGATGTTCACAGTACATACACAGTGAGCCAACAGCAAGAAACATACCCTTCTGGGTAGTGTTGTACTGCAAAAGGAACATTTAACAGAGTATTTGTTCAAATCAAAGGGAGGTTTTCAAGACATGCAAGTTTGAGAAGTCATACTGGGCTTCCTAGAATTAGGCTGCTTGTGGAGAGAGAAGATACACACCAGCCTAGGTGACAATGACTCTGTAAATAAATGCAAGATGAAGCTATATTAATGCAACACCTGCATTGTTCTCAGCAGACAGTGACCTTGAATCTTGTTCACATCACCCCTCCTATGACTCCACAGCACAGTCAATGAATCTCCTGCCGGAATGGCCATCTTAATTTTCACACTGTTCCTAGGCAGTGCTTGTGGTTCAGAAAGGGAAAGAATAATCAAAGCCACAGTGCAGCTCTTGTTTCACATGCACAGTGGACAGTTAATGCAGGATGCAACGACTGTGTTCCTGGTGAGAGGAACTGGCCACCAATAGGCAGCTTCTGTGTAAGGTAAAAGGTGTATCACAGCATCCTGAACTCGTTTCAGGCACAAGATATTTCAAATTCATCTGTGACATTGGGCTACAAATGGGAATTAGCCTTCTAGGAGACTGACCTTACCTCTTCGTCATGATCTTTGGCCCACTGAAGTTTTTCCAGCAGATCACTCAGGTTGCTTTTAACTGGAATGTAGTGTTTCCACGGCTGCAGCTCATTGTAAAAGTGCTCATAGTAGATGGAGTCCTGCTTCAGCACAACACTGTCGCCCACCAGTAGATAGGGCAGGCGATACGCTGCCACAGTGCCATCAATATTTATTTGATACTTATGCTGCAGAACAGTAGTAGAGTATAAGAATCCTCTATTAAATCTCCTTTTTCCACTCTCTTTTTCTGCTTCCCATTCCACACATTAATCTGCCATCTTCAGATTAAAAAACTGGCCGGATATTGCCCCCTGCTGTCACCTTTTAGCAAGGGCTGTCACATAGCATGGTGCTGTAGAGAGCTGAGTGTCCATGTTGATATGGTCCTATATTTTACAAGGGAAGCAACAAATCTAATGCCCAAATCAGCCAATAAAATAAAACAGTGTCCTAAGCTACAACATCTGTGACTCTGAAATTCCTTTACTTCTTTCTTGATTGCACATGTGAACCTAATGATGGCACATTCTGTACCAAGTTAACTGTATTTTTCTAAACAGCAGATGGCCAAACATGTCATAAGGAAATTAGCAAGCTCCAGACAAGAACATCTATGAATAAAAATATTCATAGAACTGTGATAATCAATAGCCTTAGTAGTAGAAAATTCAACAGGTAGGAAAAGCTAAGGTATGATGTACTCCCCCCCCCCCACCCCGCCAAGAAGGGCTGGGGAATAAATAACTGTCTTTAGTTCTCATCATTTCTTTAACAAATCTTGAGACATGGCAGGGTGTGATGGTGTACGTAACCCCAGCACTCTGGGAGGCTGAGGAGAGAGGATCTCAGGTTCAAGCAGACCCTAGGACACTTAGTGACTTAGACCCTGACTCAAAATACTAAATAATTTTTTTATAAAAAGGGCTGATTACGTAGCTCAGTGTGAAGGTCCTGGTTCAATTCCTAGTACTGTAAAACAAAAACAAATGAACAAAAACTTCAAGCTATGTATACGGAAAAAACTTACGGCATTCTTGAAGCCTGCCTACCTCCATGTGACCCATGGAAGGAAAATCTAGGCAGACACCGCTCGCTAATCCCTTGTCTTCCCCACCCACAGAATGAGTGAGCATCTTTTGCCCACCTTTCTCTCCACCCAAGAGGGCTTCAGAAACCACCCAGTGGTCTAGACGGCAGGGCAGTATGATGTCCCGAAGAGAGGGAGTCATTAGAAAAAAGGATTACTCCCCGTGAAACAAGAGCAATCCACATTCTAGGTGCAGAAAGCCATTCTTCCTCCCCAGAATTCCCAGGCAGGACATTTGGGTGGGTTTCAAATCACTGTCCAACAGGAGGCCTGATAAGAGACATCTTGTTATAGCGCTGTGGTTTGGGGCAGAAATGCCTGTAAAATGACTGGAATGCATGTATTAATAAAAAAGGATTTGAGCAGACATGTGCTTATCAAGAGTCAGATGGAAAAGGAATTATAGTTCTCCCCTTCCAAGCTCACCCGGTGTGCATGCAACGTCAGGCTGAGTGTGAGGATAGTCCCAGGCTGCGGACCCATCCCCAGGATCTCCGGGCCTCGGCACTCGCTATGGTTTGTGCTCATCTCTCCCATATCTGTTATTTGCAGGCTTCAATTTCCCTTCCCCAATGCGTGACTTCTGCATTTCCTGGGAAAGCAGAAAACACTGGCCACTGATGATGTCATACCTTGAAGAAATCGAAAAATGAGATGTGTTTCACAATGGGACCATACAGCCTCTCGTCGTGTTTAAAGAAGAAAAAGTTGGTGAAAGCAGCGTCGATGAGCTCTGGGTGTTTTCTGCTGAGTTTCACCAGCTCAAGCCTCTCTTTGCGGCTGTCTCGCCCTCTCCAGAGGGCTGTGGCATTCTTGCTTTCCCAGGGAGGCCCCGTGTTGGCCTGCACAGACATCATGTCCAGACTCACTCTGGAAGACAGAAAGTGCGACATGCCTTTCTCGCACACCATCGCATCACAAAGGCGCATGGAAAAGGACTCACCAAAGAGAACAACCACTCTCACCGGCCCATGGTTTCTAGAACAGAGTCCGTCAAGTCATAGGTGGGCATCACAATATCCTTGGAATCCGTGGAGCCACACCAGGAAAAGATCGGATGGATGTCAGAGTTGGATTTCTTCTTTTCCAGAGGCCAGTCTCCTAAATTAACAAAGAACTCCACATCTGGCATCTTCACCTAAGATAGAAGAAAATAAAGAGCCAATTCAGAGTTCTTGCACTGCATGATGCTCTGTATTTATCAGTTAAAATCAGCATTGGACCAAATGAAAGGCCAACCTTATAAGCTTCAGGCGATGATAATTACTTCTGTTTGAACAAGGGGTGATGTTTCAGAATGTGGTCATATGTATAAGAATCCTAAGTTGTCTTCTGCAGCATCCAAATTGACTAACAGACTTACTGCAAAAGGGATGAGGTAGCAAAGGTAATTTCTGTTCGAGTGCTACTGAGACACTAAGATGATCAAAGACAGAAAGAGGATTATCGGAAAATATAAAAAAATAGCACTTGGCAGCCCAGGATTTAGCTCAGTGGCACCGTGCCTGCCTCACAAGCAAAAGATCCTGAGTTCAATCCCCAGTAGCCCCGCAAAAAAGCACTTGGGACTCTAATCCTAGTTTCTTGTTAAGGAGCCAGATGCTTCCATTTAAAAAAAAACCCAAAACATTCACAGGTAGGTGGTGGTAAGAGCATTTGAATTCAGGCAGTGTAACATCATGTCCAGCATAGTAATTTCCAAGCTACGCAGCTTCTACTAACAAATAGTGTGAAGATGTTAAAAGAACTTGCTTTATATCGCCATGGAAAATGCTTAGAGGATTTACAAAACAATATACGTGTGTTTAAACAAAAAATATTTCAGTCAAAGATGAACTGCCATCAATCCCCTGCAAAACAGTCCCTTCGGCTTTGAACACACTTATTCCATTTTTGCTACTTTCTGAGCAGCTCTGAAAGTCTTTTTTGGGAGTGTCATTAGTTGTGCTGTGATGGCTGCCTTGATGTTCTGAATTGATTCACACTGTTTATCTTTCATGGTTGACTTTGGAGAAGAGTCAGAAGTCACATGGTACCAGATCTGGTAAATAAGGCGGATAAGGACACTGCTATGTTTTTACAAGCCCGCCTTTCTGTTGGGTAGTAGTCGGCAGCAGCATTCACTGTACTTTTGATCACATTTTGTAAGGACATTCACAACAGTGGACTTCCAGAACTGCTTCACAAAGTGGCAAGAACAATAAGAAAAGGATATCGGAAGTGAGGGGGGAGTGTTTTGAGGGAGATTAATGGCTGTGTATCTTCTACTGTAATGAATTTTAAAAAATTTAACCATTCACTGTAGTTTTGGATCACTTTAGTATATATTTTCATTAAGAACTGTAGTAGAGTTAATTTGAAAATAATCTTTAAAAACTTGAGCCTTGGAGACAATTCTTATTTTTCCATGTCTTGACATAGATAAGCAAAAACATATTTGCTAATATTCTGATGTCTTAGCCTAAAGGAGGCATAACATTGATACTAATAAAACCTTACCTTCAGAATTAACTGATTACATATGTTTTACAGTCTTGAGGAAAAAGGTACTATGATTTCGCATGAGTATTTCAATCAATGTGTGCACACATTATTCAATACCTAGATATTACAAGTGTTCCATTAAACAATGCTTGTGTATTAGGCCAAGGAATGCATTCAGTATTCAGTACAAGGTAAGCCTTCTTTGGGCTCAAGGTAGGTTTAGTATCAAGACAATCTTATATATTATTTTCTCTTATCTGTTAAGACACTGTTTTGGGGTGAACCACTGAAATCCTAATCCTCAGTATTTCAGAATGACCTTATCTAGAAATTGGGTACTTGCAGATTAATTAGCTAAGATGAGGTCACACTAGAGGACCACGACTCATTAACCTACTGTGACTGGGGTCCTCATGGGAAGACACAGACTCGTACAGGGAGAAGGCCACAAGAAGACAGGGAGAGAAGACCGTGATGCTGCTCCAAACCCGGAAGCACCTCGGACCGGGGGTCAGCCCTGGAAGCCAGGGAATGAGGGTGTTCCGACCCTCAGAGGAGTACAACCTTGCTGACACTTTGATTTTGGACTTCTGGCCTCCAGAACTATGAGAACAAGTTTCTGTCATATACTTGCATGCCCATGTTTACAGCAGTGCAACTCATAATGAATATCTTGGACACAGCCTTGTTGGCATCTATCAACAGATGGACAGATAAATAAAATGTGAAATTTATACATAATGGGCGACTGGTCTGCTATAAAGAAAGATAAACTTGAGCCATTTGTAGGAAAAAGAAAAGGTACACAATATTGAATGAAATAAATCAGACACACAAGCTTAAATATCACACGGCTTCTCTTACATGAGAAACCCAAAGTAGAAATAAATTAAAGAGCACAAAAAAAAAATAACAGGAAGTAGGGGGACAGATCTTTTGCAAATAGGAAGAGATGACGGATTTTAAAAAGAATGACAATGTGTTATGTAAACGAATCAACTCCCCACGAGGCATGTAATCATTATGCACTGCAAATATGGACTAATAAAAAGATAACTTTTTCCTGTTATTTTTAAGCCTCACAGCTTGTGGCATTTTGTGCCACGGCCCTAGGAAACTAATATAGGTATTTACACGAAATAAAAATTTAGGACAGTATTATAATAGGGCTCCAGAGTCCAATATCCTTGGCATTGTTGTTATAGTTTGAAAAATTAAACCATAAAAAAGTGGTTTAACACTGTCTCTTACAACTGAGAAGAAACATTTGCTCACCTTTCTGGTCAAAGAAAGCAGGATGGCATCCATGAAAATCCTAAAACCTACATGCTCACCGTGAGTCTTGATATAAACCTAAAAGAGAATTTAACATTTATTATGTTAGCCCTAAAGTCCTAGGAGACTTCACTGAGGCAAAGCTTTGGCACCGTGATTTTGATTAGGCTGATGTTTAATTAAACTATTTAGTTAGATGTAGCCAAATGTGAACACAAAACAAAATCGTGAAAACCAGCAAACCTCAAACCACGCCTTGTACCTTGTTGTCCTTTAAGGTGTAGTGACACAAACTCTGCCTTTGTCCAAATCTTTTGGGGATTTCGGCTGCAATCTTTTCTGGATCAATAGCAGGGAAATGCGCCAGATCTTTCTGAATCTGGGGAATGGACAGTGGGCAGTTCATCTCCTGTAGCCAGGTGGCACTGTCTTCCAGAGGACAGTCACAGTTCTCATGGTAAACTGGCCCTGTTGAAAAAGCACAACAGCAAACATTTCACTCAGCCTTTGAAGCATGTAACAAAGACACAAAATGAGGGCTTCCTACATTCTGAGTAGTTAGGCGGTGTCGGGGGAGGGGGGCTTTTGATTGAAAACCTATTTTAAAAAATACTCTTTTATTACATGGGGGCATTATGAATAATCAGCCTTGTATTTTTCACAGCCTTCACAGAGAGGTCTTGTGATATTTTCATGTTCAGGTCCAATTTACAAGAGTTCAGGCAAAGTCAGCTGGTACTACTTTAGGTTCTACAGAGGAATTTACTCATTATTCTTTATGTCTGATGTGCTTAAGAATCACCAGCTATTGGTAAGAGACTGAGAGGAGCGTATCTGATTCAGTGAAAGTTATATGCACGTTTCAGTAGTCTACTACACAAACCGCTTAAGTGTCTAAGGCACTTTTCTCAATGGGTAAATCATTATCAATAACAACAAAAGTAAACCAGAAACTCCTACTAATTTTTGTTTTTGGTGGTGCTGGGGATTGAACCCAGGGCCTTTGCACTGAGCTTATATCCCCAGCACCATTCACTTGATTATTAATTTTTAGATAAAGTCTCACTAAGTTGCCCAGGCTGGACTTGAACTTGTAAATTTCCTGCCTCAGCCTCCCAGAATGCTGGGATTACAGACATGCACAATCAAGCCTGGCTCTATGCCTTTTAAAAATTTCTTGAAGAAGAAATATAAAGAATAAAGAAAAGGTAATCTTCAAAACAGTCTATTTAGGGCCGGGGATTTAGCTCAGAGGTTCTGCCACCTGCCTCGAAAGCCAAGGACCCAAGTTTGATCCCCGGTACCAAAACAAACAAAAAAACCAGTCTATTTCATTGATATCATAATCAACTAATTATACATTTATAGAAAGAATATTATAATGTAGCAGAATCTGAATTGAAGGGTTATTTTTTAAAATGTCATTTCTTTCTGCAACTCTCAGATTCCCACCTGGCCCGGGCATCAGGGGACAGTCAATCATTCTTTAAGGTTTAGCAGGTTCCCATGTGGTGTGGGTGGAAAGTCGCTAAGGAACCTAGACCCGTTCTTGGGGTGCCTTCGTTATATGCACTGCTTCCCCTCTGCTTTGGGACCTCGTCCGGTCTCCTCTGCCAGGGAAGGAGCTGGCTGTCAGTAGCTCTCTTCCTGTAGAGGTAAACACCGGAGAATTCTGCTGGAATGAAGACCCAAAACATCAACTTCCCCTCCCAGCTTCAAGCTACCTCCTTTCCTGAAGTAATCTACCAAATTCCAGTAACAATCACCATTTACTTAATTCTTTTGCTTCTAATTAAGAAAGTACCATGTATGATTATACACCATTTTATTGTTTTTGTTAATATTATGTCTTCAGGGATGGAATCCTCTAATAGTTACTTGCTCTTTATTGAAATATAACTTTGAATCAAGACATTTCTCTCTTTTACCAGGACTCCTAATCTAGCTTTCCGGATAGGAGACATTTTTTTTTTTCTTTCAGTGAAAAATAAAAGCTATGTTTTTGTTAATGCAATGACATGTATCATCATATTCAAATACTACTGCTATAAAATTATATTCCAAATTACCTTCTAAAATGTATGGAGACTTGGCCACATGTTGCCCTTGGAATTTAACTTCTACCTTCAGATTTTTGTAGCTCGCATACATTCTGTATCTTACTATGAAGGACCCATCCTTTCGGTCTAAAACCTGGACTCCAACCCGAGTGAATTGCTCGTCTGGTGCTGAGATTTTAACCTGGAACACCTTTTCACCTGGAGAAAATGTGAACCTGTGACAGGAACAGCAATGAGATAGAAAAGTTACTTTAAGCAACAAATGCACAATGCTTATGCCCTCTGGTCTGTAAGCTTTACTGTTCTCTTCCATACTCTTCCTCGTACATGCTTCCTGCTTCTCTCTTAGTCTTTTGATACCAGAATGAACAGATGGATTAGAAATTAAAGAAAAAAAGAACAGAGGATGACAATGGTCAACATAACACAGCACAATTTCACTTTATACAATCACAAGGGGCTATGTTAGGACTTCTAATCTATGTTAGGAATAGAAATATTTATGCATTCCATGTATAACACTATTCCCATCAGTGCACTAGGCATTCAGTTTATGCCCTTCACATCCGGAAATCTGTGATCAAATGGTGCTTCCAAAGATGAGCTTATTTGGGAAAACTACTGTCGGCGACTCTTAAAAACACCAGTATTGTAAATCACACTCAGCCAGGGGAAAAGTCAAAATAGGCATCATAGCACCATAGTGACAACAGTGTTTTGGAGTTGGTGGTCTTGTCATTAAGATGGTATTTAGTTTCCCCAGTTGTACTACTTCATACCCAGATGGGCAAAATTTACAACCTTCCTCTGCCTTGGACAACTTTTTACTCCCAATATTGTTACCTATAAAATAGACACGGCCAGCACCCACCAATAATGAAGACAGTCATCCAGAAGCACGTGAATTATAAGTTTCAAGTACAATTTTAATGCATTGAATTCGTTGGAATGAAACAAATTTTGGTTACACCCACACAGGAGACTCATACTTTCGTAGAACTTCATTTATCGTTTCAGTTTCAAAATCTACTGAATGGCAAATATCTACCTGAAAAGTGGGGGCAGCGCCAAAGGAAGATGCCGCGGATCACGTCTCTAACACCTGGGCTTAAAAGTCGGGTAAAAATAGTATTTTCCCCAAAATGGAGGAACTTTGCTTTGCCCTGATAATGTGGGAATCCCTCGCAAAATAGCTAAGAGAAAAGCTACTATTATATTGTGTGATATGGCCTATTATCGGAATATTATATAATATTATATATTATATTAATAGCACAATATTATCGTAATCACTTCCAAGGCCACGGAGAAGAGGTGGCCCGGGAAGGCCGTCAGAACCAGGTGTGGATCGCATTCAGGTGTCCCGGCCTGGAAAGCGCTGCGGACTAAAGGGGTGGATGTAAGTCGAAGGAAGAAACAAAGTTCTAACTGCGGCCCTAAATAGTCAACCAGCAATCACGTCCCGACCTACCTGCTCCCCGATGTGTCCACCGCCTGAATGTAGAAGTAGCGGGCGGGCAGGACTACGTCCGCTTGCAGCCCGGGCCCCCATACCTCGCTCTTCTCGGGGCTCAGTGGCCTCTCTCCGCCGGCCTCGGCCAGTGCCGCAATGGTCCCCAGAAAAAAGCAGTCAAGCAGCAGAATGCTGAACATTTACAAGACGGGCTCTGGAGACCCGCGGGGAAATGAGGAGGCGTAAGAAGCGGGGCAGGGGCTCGGCGTCTGCTGCTTCGCGGGGCGGGGACGAGCTTGTGTCCCTGCAGCCGCCCGAGCATCCTTTGCGGGCGAACCCGTTCGAGGCGCCAGGCGAGGCGCCAGGCGGGGGATTGGCCGGTGCGCCCGGCCAGGCTGAGTAAGACTTTCGCCGAGTGGACGCCCAGGGCCTGCGTCCCGGGCCCGGGCTCCCTGGGATGTGTAGTTCACGGCGGAACTAGCGGAAATCCTGCCAGCTTCTTTTTTCTTTTTAACCTTCTCTTACCCAGTCTTTACTTTTTGGTCACTGCTTTCGGGGAACAGATGCGCAGTAGAGGGGTGGGCACGAAGGGTCTGGAGTCACAGCTAAGATCTTACGATTTTGGGTGGTGGTCGGGGGTCACCATCTCCTCCGCAAGTGCCAAGCCCGGGGAAGACCGGGAGGATGAAGGAAAAGCGTCGCCAGTGACACCCGGTGACCCGCCGCCGGGCCCCGCAGTCCACAGCGCCGACCCCGCGCGCTCGGCAGGACAATACGCGGGCGGGCGCTGCAAGCAGCGACTGAAGTCCCGTACCGGGGTCCCCGCGGCACAGCAACCCGACCCGGGCGGACGGGCCGAAGGTACAGCTGGGCGAGGCAGGGGCCAAGGTGACCCCAGCCGTGCGCCCCTCTGCGGGGACAGCCGGACCCCGCGCGCGTTCCTGGCCCTCCGCTCCCCACTGCGCCGCGAGGGGCGCTGGGCTCTACGGAGCCCCGTTGCGTCCCGGTGGAGGCCGCCGTAGGGTGACGGTCCTCCCTGCGGAGCAGGGCGAAGAGAAGCGCCGGGCCCGGACGGAGCAGTTCTCTGGGAGGCCAAACTCGGTTTGGAGGTGCGCGCGCGCCAAGGCCGGGACGGGGCTGTCCCCGGGGGGGACGCGGGAGTGCGGGCCCGGAGCCTCCCCAGTGCCTCCTCCCCTCTCTGCTTCCGCCGGAGACCCCGCAAACCCAGATGACTGGGTGACTCCGTCCGCCCAAGAGGGCCTGGCCAAGGAAGAGGGGTCTTTTTCACATTTCACCATTGTCATTAGTGCCACCCACGTGTTCATTCAGAAGCCCGAATGCGGGGCCCTCCCCTCTCCTCCCGGGGACAATAACTGGGCGCCTCGCACCCTGCCAGGGGCCTTGGCACCGGAGCGCCCCGGTTCCGAGCTGGATCCAGGGTCTCCCTCGCGGCGCGCCGTGTCTTCGGGCCCCGGAGCGAGGGGGAAGGCCGGCAGGCCCGGCTGTCCTCGGCCAGCGCTGGGACTCAGGGCGCCGTGGCCCGGAGGCCTCCGCGGGAGGGCGGAGGGCGGAGGACGGAGGGCGGGGGCGCAGCCGCACCGCTTCTTCAGCGGCTCCGCCTCCGCGCACGCGGGCCCTGCGCGGGGGGGGGGGGACCGGCCTGCGACTGTCGGCTTCCCCGCGGCCTCCGAGGCCGGCCACGCCGCGACTTCGCAGAGGAGGCGGTGGGGACTCTCCGGGCCTCCTCCGTAGCCTGCGCGCCACGCGGGCGCCCCGGGCGGTCGGAACCTCGGTATCCTTTCCTAGGCCGCCGGCCTCTGCGCTGGGAGGGCACCGGGCTGGTGGCTATGACCAGGGGGCTTGGAGGGCTGGGTGGAAGGATGGAGTCAAGGTTGGGGTTTTAGAGCTTATGGTCCCGCCCTGGGACATATACTCAGCCTTAGTAAGTCAGCTAACCGACCCTGCGTCTCAGGTGGCTTCTACACAAAATAAAGATCATAGTATTTGTCCTATGTGGAAGGCTTTACTGAGATTTAAAAAATTATGATTAGTTCCCTAATAAACCTGATATTTAAGAATACAGATCTGAAATACAGCCTGCTATCCATATGACCCAGGTAATGCATTTTGGCTTTATAAACAGTATGTTTATTTTATAGAACAGTTCGTTGCAATGCCTTCTACAAATCATTACATTTAAAGCTTGCCATTTCATAAACTATGCTTCGCACACAACTAAACAATACTTCTGTTGCTTGTGACGTAATATTATGAATAAACCATTAAGGTGAGCATCATTTTTATTAGTAAATCTTAATCTAGCACCGCCTCCCTCGCTGGGTTGAAGAAACCTCTGTCAAAGTGCGGGCTTATAATAATGCTTGGCACGGTGTAGAGACTTGACCAGACTTCTGCAACTGCTAGGCCCAGAGGTGCAGTAATCAGAGACATCGGATGTGCAGGAGGCAGGAGATGTGCACTTGTGGGAGGAAATACATAAACCCATGGGAAAGGTGAAGAGCTGAGAAACCTTCCCAAAAACGTGACATTCAAGAGGCGAATGGGCGTTAATTAGTGAAGGACGGCCAGTGTTCGGAACAGCATTGGGAAAACCAAAAAGTGGGCTGTAAAGCGGGGCGGGGGGTGTGTGTGAAGAAGGAGGTGGAGAGGTTGATCTAGGGCCAGATAAGGAGTTGGCTTTCCGTTCTGTTCCAAGGGCAGAGGGTTTTAAATTGGGAAGTGCTGTGATCATCTATGTGTAGCAAGCAGTTTTCTAGCAAGCTATTTACTGATATGTAGAGGTCAGATTAGAAATGTGAACGCATGAGAGTGGGTGGCATGGAATTGAGAATTGTTTACACTTACAGAGTCGGAAGGGGGTAGATGTGAAGAAATATTAGTGACAGCTGGAGGCTAAGTGGAGGGACAATGTACCCTTCCTATACCTCAGTATTTCCTGAGATTTAATTGCGTGATTAATACAACAATCAATGCCTGTAATGATTGTGGCATCAGTAATAAATTGTGCTTAGGTCACTTGGAGAGAGCCAGGACCTGAGCAAAGTACCCACGACCCACTAGGAGAACCCCCTCTTGTTACTGCTGAGAGAGGAGCCTCAGGCAGACATGATAGGGAAAGAAAACAAGCAGAGTTTGGGTCATGAGTTTTGGATACTTTTAATTTTCTGTGGAATAGCACTTGGTACTTTGAAATTTTTTTCTAAACCATATTTTATTTATATAATAAAATCTATAAATATTACACATTTTCAAAGAGAAACGTACATAAGCAGTGGTTCAAGTGAAAAGGTTTTGATACCTTTGGTTATTAGTGACAAACCATGTTAAGTAAATCTTCATGTTGATCATCTTTTTTAAAAAAAAATTTTGGTCAAACTGTGTGGGACCAACATGATCATTCTTGTCCTGTGACCATTATTTAATAGTAAACAAACCCCCAGACATTAAAAAAAAACAAAACCCTGCTGCATTTTTATTAATCAAGTGAAATGTTCTTTCTTGGCTTTAGCTTCTAGGAAGCTCAGTCCTAACTTTTGGCCTCAAGTGAAGGCATTTATTTCCCTTTGCCTCTGTTGTTGATCAGAATATTCTCTATAAATGTTCCACATGAGTATACGTCACTTTGAGAAGTGCAAAACAAGAGAGCTGGTCCCACAGGCAGTATTTTGCTCAACTTGAGAAAACGAGCTATATATAGCAAAGTGAAGTTAAAATGCAGATGGTGGCATAGGGACCCTGAGTGGGACATCTCTCTCTCCTCCCACCGAACTAACTTGGGTAACTTCTTCCTATAGCCCCTTTGTGACAATATGCTGTCTCCTTCCGCACCTAGCACCACCCACCCACACAACCCCAGCAACACTGTCTGACTCTGTCCACCACACTAGCTTTTAAAGAAGCACATGATGTTGGGCATGGTGGCACAGGCCTATAATCCCAGCACTTTGGAAGGCTGAGGCAGAAGGATTGCAAGTTCGAGTAACTTAGTGAAACCATGTCTCAAAATTTTTTTTAAAAAAGGCTGGGGATGTAGTTCAGTGCAAAAGTCCTAGGCTTAATCCCTAACCCTGGGGAGGGGGATGAGGAGGGGAAGGCCCACAGATAAATGGAAATGGCACTCTAAGACTAGGCTAGCAATTGGAGAAACTCAATCCTCAAGAAGAAGGGGAAGGCTTAAAGCTACACCTACCTGCTCCTAAAATTTCTTTACAAAAAGAAAGGGAAAGTTTCCAAAGCGAAACTCCTGCAAACCAACCCAGCAAACAATTAAACTGCACAGATAACCAAAACCCCTACCTGGAGGTTTAACACAGAGAAAGCACGCCTTAAAGGTTAAGAAAGTGTAACCTTATTTAGTGCGTATGGAGTGCTGCTTACCTGCAATCCGATTCCTCAGATTCCATGAAGGGTGTGGGGCCTTCACTAGGATCTCCTCTGGGATTAGGATCAAGAGAATCCAGAGGCCCCTGCGTGAGTCACCTGTCGTTATTTCCTGGAGCGTTAGTCATAGGCTTCTATCTTAGGTATTTGTATGATGGTTTCTGTAACTTCTGAAAGTTATTTGCCTTTCTAAGTTTTAGAGTAAGCAAGTGGGCAGAGATATTAACTGTTAAAAGCCAGGCTGATGTCCACAGTGGGCCGAATCTCGAATGTGCTACTTTTGTCACTCGAGCCCTGAGACGCTGTCAGCCCTGCCCAGATCCCTGTGAAGGGACATCCCTGTATCATGTGTGTCACTGTGACTCTCAAGGGATTTTCTTTTTCTTTTTTTGGATACCGGGGATCGAACTCGAACTCAGGTCCTTGAGTTTGCACAGCAGGCGGCGAAACCACTGAGCTAAATCCCCGGCCCTCCAGGGATTTCTTGTTTTCGTAAATCTTCAGCTTCTTTGGATCCCCTCAGGTGCTATTCAAACTGTTTGCTGTTTTCTTCCCCAAAGGAATCAGTTTAGATTTGAAACTCAGTTTTTCCTATTTATCAAAAGTTAGTGATACCTGAGTGATTAAATTCTTTTTTGGTAGGGGGATTAGGTGAAGAATATTTTAAAAACTAAATTCCATATTATTAGTTTATTTGAATCTATAACCATTATCATCAAAGAGCTTTTATGCCTGTGTACTTTTTAAATAACCTTGTTAGTGCATTGTTTTTAGAGAACTTTATTGCTATAATTCACATACCATAGGCTTCCATGGCTTTTAGCATATTTACAAAGTGATGCATTCACCACCACAGTCAGTTATAGAATATTTTCATTCTTCCAAAGAGTAACCCTGCTATGCTCAGCTCTCTAGCCCTGGGTAACACTAATCTGTGTTTTGTCTCTAGATTTGCCTGTTCTGGACAGTTTACATAAATGGAATCATGCACTACTTAGGGCTTTGTGGTAGGCTTCTTTTACGTAGTGTAGTGTTTTTAAAGTTCATTCAAGTTGTAGCTTGGATTAGTCTTTCTTTTTATTATCAAATGAGATTTCAAGATATGGATATACACTTGTCTGTTAATTAGTTCATGGACATTTAGGTTGTTTTTTCATTTTGGCTATGATGCACAGTGCTGCTGTTTACATGGGTAGACATACGTTTTCATTTTTCTTGAGTACGTGAGTAGGAGTGAAATTGCTGGAGCATATGGTGACTCTGTTAAAATGTCTGAAGAACTGTTTTCTAAATTGACTGGACCATTTTAGTTTCCTACTACCAGTGTATAAGGGTTCTAATTTCTCACATTCTTGTCAGCACCGGGTATTATCTGTCTTTTTGACTGCAACAGCTTAGTGGTTTAAGCAGGTTTGGATTTGCATTTCCGTGATGGCTAACAACACCAAAAATCCTTTCATGTCCTCATTGGCTATTTCTGTATCAATCTTGGAGAAGTAACTATCTGGTACTTTGCCCATTTTTTAATTGGGTTATTTGTGTTTTTGTGTTAATATTTTACTTTATTTGAAGCTAATTTGAAAGGTAGACGGTTAGTGATCATAACTCTAGGTACATAGTTGTAACATATATATGCATTGAATGAGGAAGACATGAATAATACTTGATATAATTTTTAGAGCCTTTTATAATGTCTCCTGGCTGTTGATCATTCGTTTTTCTCCTTCTTTTCTTAGGATCACATTTTGCAACTCTCAGGTTTTATAGAATGTTGTAAACGACTGTCAACGTTGTTTCCCAAGACATAGATCAGGTCGCAGCTTCTTCCTAGGAACAGAAACTTTTACAGTTGCATTCAATGCCTAACATTGCTGAAACCGAAAGGTCCAGTGGTTCTGGAAATGCTGAGCACAGATCGGAGAGAAAGTCTCCGGAAGAGAATCTACCGGGTGCTGTAGGGTCTTTCTGCACAAGGGCCTCGGGAGCACCCTTGGGCCCCAAAGGAGGTGGCCATTATCCCTGGAGTTGTCCAGTGACTCACACTCGGGAAAAAATTTATGCCATCTGTTCAGACTATGCCTTCCTCAACCAGGCAACCTCGATTTACAAAACTCCAAACCCAGCCCGCTCTTCTTGCCTCTCCGACAGTACCTCATTATCTGCCGGGAATAATTCATCAAGGTACATTGGTATCCCCACGAGTACATCGGAAATAATCTATAATGAAGAAAATAGCTTGGAAAACTTATCCAAGAGCCTGGGGAAGCTACCTCTCGCATGGGAAATTGATAAATCTGAATTTGATGGGGTGACCACAAATTTGAAACACAAGTCAGGTATGGAAGAAGCCCTGAAGTTCACATGTGAAAACAACGAGAAAACGAACACATTTCTTAAAATCCTGCCATTAGACGTATTTTCCCATTATAATGCTGAACGCGGGGGGCATTGCTCTCATCTTGTCTGTCATTGCAGTTGGAAAAAAGTAACCTTGATCACAGGACATTTAGGTCATTAGTGTGTTGCCAATGGAGACTTCAAGCTTCGCCTTTGAATTTAGAGAACTTTGAGAATCAGAGTGTTGTATTATATACGTATTATAATAATGCTATTATTTCACAGTTTTGCAGGAGCATAGTCATATTTCCTAAACTAGAAAATCACTAGATTTCTTTTCACCCTATAATAACATAGCTTTTTTGTTGTTAAAATTTGGGGGGACCTCATCAAAGCCCATAGGTATCACTGAATAGGTTGTGTACTGTACAGGTTTTTAAAAAATTTTTATTTATTTAATTTTTTTTTGTTGAGACAGGGTCTTGCTATGTAGTTCGGGCTGACCTCGAACTCACAGTGATCCTCCTGTCTCAGCCTCCAAGTATGCACCACTGTGTTTGGTTGGTTTTTTTTGGTACTGGGGATTGAACTCTGGACCTTGCGCTTGTGAGGCAGCTGCCGGAACCGCTGAGCTAAATCCCTAGCCCTACCATGTTTGGTTTTTGAGGATCTCATTCACCTAGGTTGCAGCGCACAACCTGGACAGTTACACAGGGGTGATCCTGTGGTAGACGTTAGTGCTCTTCTTGTCTGTTGTTTGAACTCACAGTAATACGGACGTTTTATGAGGTAGGTACTCTTATCCTATAGGTGAAGAAAGGCGGTAAGTATCTTGCCCAAAGTTGCCCAGCTACTAGAGGTAGAATTAAGATTTGTGTTTTACTTTTAAGGTTCTCTGAGGATTTTGCAAGACCTCTATACTTCTGCTTGTTTATTTGCAAAATCAATTTGTTTCATCAAATGTTATTTTATAATTCTCAGGGGACATGGAAGGGATTTCACTTTGTGTCAATATTTATAAGTAATGGGTCTTGCAGTTTCTTTTTTTTCATAATGTCTTATTTTTAGAATTTAGAATTAAGGCTGTGGAGGTCTTGTAAGACAGGATGGGAAGTGTTTTCCTATTTTCTGAGGGTTTTCAGAGGGATATACCAAGCTCTATAATTATGGTGTTGTCTTGATTACTGTTGTCTTATGACAGATTTTAGTTTGTCTATTTCGTCTAAGATGACAAATTTGGTGTAAAAATGATTTATCAACCATCTAAGGACTACCGTGTCTTTAGTGATTCATCCTCTTTCATTTCTATTAATGGCACTTCCTATGCTTTTGTTCTTTTTTCCTGATCAGTATTGCTAGGAGTTTATTGGTATTACTCATCTTTTTAAATAACTTTTCAAATAATAGCTTTTGGTTTTGTTAATTTTCTCAGTTGCTTGTTTTCTATTTCATTGATTGCTGGTACTTATTATTTCTTTCCATTACTTTCTTCTTCATTTTTGGCTTTGCTTAGATCACCGATTTGATACTTTTCTACCATAAGCTCAGGATGGTTCTTTATTGCTTTAGTCACAGCACACACATTTTGATGCACTTATTTTATTATTTAATTTGAATTATTTTTAAATTTCTGTGTAATTTCTTCTTTGATACACGAGTTATGGAGACAAATGCTGGTTAATTTCTAGATATTTGGGTTATATTTTCTAAGTATTGACTTCTAACTTAATTCCTTGGTAGACAGAGAACGTAAGATCTGTCTTTTAAAATTTACTGAATCTTGTTCGATTACCTAGCCACATAAACTTGAAAACTGTGCATTCTGTAGTGATTAGGTGCTTCTATAATTATTAGTTAGGTCAAAGTGTTTGAGCATGTTGGTCACATCCTCTGTGCTTCTTATTCTGTCAATTGCTAGAAAGGGGTGCTAACAATTTCCTGTTATGACTGAAATTGTCTTTTCACTATTTAATTCCATCTTTAAGAAAGACAAATTTTAAAAACTGTGGTAAAATGTACCTGATATAAAATGTACCATGGCAGCCACTTTTTATATGTACAGCCCAGGGGCATTGAGTATGCTTACATTGTTGTACATCTGTCACCACTGTCCACCTCCAGATCTTTTCAGCTTGCGAAGCTGAAACTCTGTACCTAGCCAACAACAATTCCCTATTCCCTCGTTTTCCTGGCGACCACCATTCAACTTTTTATTTCTGAGAATTTGACTATTCTAGGTGTCTCAGACAAGTGGAATCATACAGTATTTGTCTTTCTGTGATTGGCTTATTTATAGCCACCCTTGTATTCTTCCAGTTACCATTCACTTGGAATATCTTTTTCCATTCTTTCAATTGCGACTTGTTTATGTCTCTAGATCCAAAGTGACTGTCTTACCGAGAGCATATATTTTATAAGAAAAAACATCTATATAGAGAGATCATTTTTTTTTAAAAAACCCACACTTCAATCTCTATATTTTGGTTGGAGAGTTCATCCACTTATGTTTAAAGTAATTATTTTTTTCCATTAACTTTATTGGTACATTTTAGGTATTGTACAATTTAGGTACAGTTACACTCATCATTGGGATCTTGTACCTTTACAAGACATCTCTTGGTTCTTATTTTTTCCCCATTCTCCTGCCCTCCTTTCACCCCCTCCACCCTTCCCTATATACAAAGACTTTGTTTCCAGTTTTTTCCTTTTCTCATATTTTTTCTTTTCCCTTCTTTCTTTTCCCCAACCCTCCCACTTCCCCTATTCCTTTAGACCTTTTCTTCCTACTAAACAGTATGAATTATACATTTTTAAAAATTACAATATCAAGATTTAGAGGACATTACCACAGATTTTACAGAATTTAAAAGGATATAGAAAGCATATTA